TCGTAAGAAAACAATACAGGGGCTATAGAGCCAATAGTACACGAAGGTGAGGTTCGCAAACCCATTGTGAAAAACGAGAAAACAGCGTTCCTCTTTTCCTGCTCGCTTTCCTCTTCCTCATCCTCCTCCTCCCCCTCCTCCTCCTCCCCCTCCTCTTCCTCCTCCTCCTCCTCCTCCTCCTCCTCCTCCTCCTCCTCCTCCTCCTCCTCCTCCTCCTCCTCCTCCTCCTCCTCCTCCTCCTCCTCCTCCTCCTCCTCCTCTCCTCCTCCTCCTCCTCCTCCTCCTCCTCCTCCTCCTCCTCCTCCTTGTCCCCCTCGTCCCCCTCCTCTTCCTCCTCCTCCTCCTCCTCCTCCTCCTCCTAACCATCACGAACCAGAAACGAATAAAACCATCATGCCTTCCCGACTAAAACCAGAACGACGTCCTTATGAAAACCCACTCTCAAGTGGACCAGAGGGCCACGATCCTCGTGAGGGGTGTTCCGGCATTGGGCGTCGGTGGGCCGTCGGCAGCGCTCCACATTGGGCCAGGGCCACGATCCATGTGAGAGGTGTGCCGAACTTCAGCGTCGGGCGGCGATCCAAATGTGGCGAGGTCTACGATCCGTGTGAGGGGTGCGCCGATATTGCTCATCGGTGGGCCGTCGGCAGCGCTCCCAGGTGGGCCAGGACACGATCCTCGTGAGCGGCGTGCCGGAATTGGACGTCGGTGGGCCTTCGGCAGCGCTCCCACTTGGACCAGGGCCACGATCCTAGTGAAGTGCGCGCCGGAATCGCGCGTCGGAGGGCCAGGCCCACGATCCTCGAGAGGGTTGTGCCGAAACGAAGCGGCTGGCAGTGGCGGTTGCTCCAAATCCGACGTCGACACGAAGGACAGGTGTAAAACTGTCGTTTTTTGTTCGCTTCTAATACGAATACAATCTACAGCCTCTACAGCGAATAGTGCACGAAGGTAGGCATTGGCGCGAAAGACACGAAGGCCAGGTTTGAAACTAATGTTTTCGTAATTCCCCTGGTAGGAGTTCTATTAGGCCTGATACACAAGAAGAGTACACGAAGGTGAGGTTTGTAGCGACACGAGGACCAGGTGCAACCCTACTACTACTACTACTACTACTACTAGTACTACAACTGCTACTACTATTGCTACCCCAAGAAATACTACTACGACTCCGAGTGCTACTACTACTACTACTACCACTACTACTAGTACTACTACTACTACTACGACTACTACTACTACTACTACTACTACTACTGCTGCTATTACTACTGCTATTACTACTACTACTACTACGACTACTACTACTACTACTACTACTACTACTACTGGTCCCACTACTACTACTACTACTACGACTACTACTACTACTACTACTACCACTACTACTACTACTACTACTACTACTTCCGACTACTACTGCTATTACTACTTCTACTATTAGTAAGACGACTACTACGACAATTCCAATTACAACAACAATTACTATTACTACTACTACGACGACTACTACTTCTAATGCTACTACTATCTTACAACTACTACTACTACTTCTACTACTAATAGTACGACGACGACTACGACTACGATTATTACTACTACTAGTACTACTTCTACTATTACTACCACCACTACTGCTACTACTACGACTACTATTACTACTACTATTGCGACGACTACTTCTACTATTATCATTAGTTGTTGCTACGGCTACTACCACTACTGCAACTGCGACTGCTACTGCTACTACCCCTACTAGTAGCGGTACGACTGCCACTACTAGTGTTCATATTACTACCACGACTACTACTACTCCTACCACCACCACGACTACTCCTACCGCTACTACTACTACTACTACTACTACTACTGCTGCTACTACTACTACTACCACTACTACGACTACTACTACTACCATTACTACGACGACTACTACTACTACTACTACTACTACTACTACTACTACTACGACTACTGCTAGTATTATTATCGCTACTACCACTGCTACTAGTAAGGCAACTACTACTACTACTACTACTACTACTACTACTACTACTACTACCGCTACTGCTACTACTACTACTACTACTACTACTACTACTACTACGACTACTACGACTACTACTACTATCATTAGTAGTAGTACTACTACTACTACTACTACTACTACTACGACTGCCTCGGCTAGTAGCACAACTGGTAGTACTGCTACACCAGGCGACTAATACGATCACTGCTACACTCGACTATTATTATTGCGGCCACTACCACCACGACTGCGAATAGTAGAATTACCACTGCTACTACCTTGCTAGTACGTCTCCCCTCTACTACTACTACTACTACTACTACTACTACTACTACTACTACTACTACTACGACTACTACTACTACTACTACTACTACTACTATTACTACTACTGCTATTACTACTTCTACTATTACTACTACTACTACGACTGTAACGGTTGCTACTAATACTACGAGTATGGCTACTACTTCTGCCACTACTTCTAAGACTAGAACTACTACTACGACTGCTTGTACGACTACGACTACTTTTACCACTATTACACTTACTACTACTACTGCAACCACTACTATTTCTATTTCTATTATTACTACTACTACTACTTCTACTACTACTACTACTACTACTACTACTACTACTACTACTTTTGCTACGACTACGGTTACTACGACTACCACTCGCATGGTTTGCACTTCTACTATTACTACTACTACTACTACTACTACTACTACTACTACTACTACTACTATTACTACTACTACTACTACTACTACTACTACTACTGCTACTGCGTATTCTACTACTGTTATTCATTTCTGTCACTACTATTACTACTACTACTACTACTACTACTACTACTACTACTACTACTACTACTAGGTCAGAGGCTGTTCGGTAGCCTGTGTGTTTTCGCATATGCAGTAAGCGAATGCCCGCGCAGCGACGACGACGACGACGACGGTGGCAGCGGTGATGATAGAGCGTGTTTTGAGGCAGTCATGTCCCCATCGCGTCTCGCAGTGCTAACTACCGAACATGCGGTGACTGCGCTCATCTCTTATTCGCTCCACACTGGTCAGCGTGAGTACCCACGCTGCACCCTTACACTGAGATGGGGTGCCAAACGAAGAACGAGGATGAGGGAGAGGATGAGGCGGAGCACGAGGAGTAGGAGGAAGTGGGAGGAATAGGGAGGAGAAGGAGGAGGACGAGGAGGAGGCGAATGAGGAGGCGGAATGATAGGAGAGGCTGGTGCAGCGTGACAGGGATGGCGAGGAGGAGGAGGAGGAGGGAGATGACATTGGAGAGAAAAAGCTCCCGTCTTTCCGACACCTCCGGAGCTCTCGCATGAACGCAGGCACATGGGACGATTACCTTTCAAGGTCGCACGTCCAGTTGTGAAAGGGAATGCTTGCACGGACATGTGAATAGGGAACATGGGACGGAAGGGTGCATTACAGCATCGTTCGTGCACATTGGGCTTACTCTGAACTTCCTGTCCTCGTCTTCCTCCTCCTGATCGTCCTACGGGATGGTGCATTGCAGCATCGTTGATGCATCATGGCGTCACTCTGGATATCCTCCTCCTGCTCCTCATACGATAGGGTGCATTACAGCATCATTGATGCACCCTGGCTTCACCATGCACCTCCACGTCTTCCTCCCCCCATCCTCCTCCTCTTCCTCCTCCTCCTCCTCCTCCTCCTCCTCCTCCTCCTCCTCCCTCCCTCCCCTCATCCGCTCCCCCTCCTCCCCACAGCTTCCATCAACTTCGCCAGCCAAGGCTCCAAAACCATTGAAAAACCAATAAACCCAAAACAAACCCAATTAATCCCTGTGAGGGTCTCAAAAAATTCAAAAAAAAAAAAACGCAATCTTTTCGCTACTTAGTCGGCCTGGGGCTCGGGGGGCTGGGAATCAAAAAACATTGGAAAACCATTGAAAATCCCCAAAAATCAAAAAAATCAAATTAATCCATGTGAGGGTCCCAAAAAACTCAAACAACTCAATCATTTCGCAACTTAGTCTGTCTGGGGCTGGCCGGCCACCCAAGGCGAGTAAGTTGTGAAAACATTTGGTTTTTTGAGTTGTTTGGGACCCTCACAGGGATTAATTTGATTTTTTTAGTTTTTTGTGGATTTTCAATGGTTTTCCCATGTTTTTGGATTCCCAGCCCCAGAGCCCCAGGCCGACTAAGTAGCGAAAAGATTGCGTTTTTTGAGTTTTTTGGGACCCTCACAGGGATTAATTGGGTTTGTTTTGGGTTTATTGGTTTTTCAATGGTTTTCTTCCAGCATCTGCCTGCACGAGGACATGCCCGACCTTAATCCGGAGTCGTTCAGTCACAGTCCCAGGGCCCGGGGAGGACCTCCATAGACCGAAAGTGACGAGCGAGAATCATTTTTCTGGATGGGGCGATTTTCCACCACCACCACTACCACAGGATATGGATCAGGATCCGAATCAGGATCAGGCCGGTAGGAGTTTGTCTGCCGTACTGATAGGAGGAGGAGGCGGAAAAAGAGAGAAAAGAAGCAGGAGGAGGATCAGGAGCGGGAGCAGGATCAGGATCAGGCCCGTAGGCGTTCGTTTGCTGCTTCTTCTGGGAGGAGGAGCGACGGCAAAAAGGAGGAGGAGGAGGAGGAGCGACGTGAAAGAGGAGGAGGAGGAGGAGGAGGAGGAGGAGGAGGACGGCCTCCCCGTCCTCCCATCCCCCCTGTCCTGCCTATGGTAGCAGCGGTGGAACATCGGCCCTTCAGGCCCACCCCTTTTGCACTCTCCCAGCGAGCGTTGGGCTTGGCATCGCTCGGACGTGTGCATGTTTCCTTCGGCGAGGACCATCGAGAAGCATCCTTGATCATTTGGCGAAACAACCACGCACGACATCAAAAAAGAATACAGGGAATGGACGTCCGAGCGATGGCGAGTGGGAGGCCTCGGCCCTCTCCCTCTGCCGCGCTGCTCCCAGGCTCGACCTGGAGTGCAACGCCATCGGCGACCAGGGCGCCGAGGCAGCCACCCGCTCTTCCCTTATTCTCTATCCTCCTCCTCCTCCTCCTCCTCCTCCTCTTCCTCCTCCTCCTTATTCTCCATCCTCCTCCTCTTTATTCTCCATCCTCCTCCTCCTCCTCCTCCTCATTCTCCACCCCTCCTCCTCCTCCTCCTCCTCCTCCCTCCCTCCCTCCTCCTCCTCCTTCCTCCTCCTCCTCCTCCTCCTTATTCACCCTCCTCCTCCTCCTCCTCCTCCTCCTCCTTCCTCCTGATTCTCCGTCCTCATCCTGCTCCCCCTCCTCATCGTCCTCCTCCTCCTCCTCCTCCTCCTCCTCCTCCTCCTCCTCGGGGAGCGGAGGAAGCCGCGCGGGGGTCAGCAAGAGCGCCAGATCTTGCAGGATCCTGCGGAGCCATGGGGGCACAGGACCCCGGGTTTTCGGGCGAAGGATCCTGCAGGATCCCGCAGCATTTTGCAAGATCTTGCATAGGGGAACGAAGGACGACGTAAACATGAACACATCCACACAATCAAACAACTAAACGAGCGACCAGACACAAACAAACACAACAACAACAACAACAACAACAACAACAACAACAACAACAACAACAACGACGACGACAACAGCAGCAGCAACAACAACAACAGCATCACAACAGCATCAACAACAACAGCACTGCTACACTGCTAATTACAACAACAACAACAACACCAACAACAACAACAGCAGCAGCAACAACAACAACATAAGTAACAACAACAACAACAACAGCAGCAACAACAACATGCATGACGGCATATGCTCACTCACCCGCGCGCGCTAGCGAAGCGAGCGAGAGTCTCGAAGGCCGGGTCGCGCCCGCCCACCCCCCGCATCTCGCCCCCGCAGCCCCATCCAGCCTCTTCGGCAGAGGTTCGGCTGCGAGCGAGAGGGGGAAGTGAGAAGAAGAACACCTTCTCAGAAGGTGGCGGGACTTCTCTCAGAAGTCCCCCGCGTCTTCTGAGAAGTTTTTTTCCGCGTCTTCGGGGAAGGCCTAGAACGCTGCTCCGAGGGCCGCGGGATTTTCGAACCTTCTGAGAAGGCTTTCTGCTTTCAGTATCGTTTAACCGATCCCCATCCCCATCCCCATCCCCTTCAAGACCCCCACCAAATTACCATCCCAGTTGAGGATGCACCCCTCGAACCCCGAAGGGAACGACCTATATCCCCACCTTGGGGGGTAAATCGGCCAGTGGGGCCCAGCCCACGCTGGTGGGGATGGGGATCTGTTAAACTATATTCAATTATCCCTCGCACTTCCCCCCCTCGCTGGCCGCCGAGATGTGGTTTGGAGTGTTTCTTCATTCGGCCCCCCGTGTCCCCCGTCGGGGGAGGGCGCAGCTCGCGTCGAAGACAATATCATACAAAGGGATTCCTTTTTGGCCCCCCATGATTGCCTCTTTGGGCCGCTCTTGGGACCCAGTTGCCTAACCCCCACTTGTTTTCTTTGGCTCGTCTGGAGCTGTCCAGAGGCTCTTCTAAAGTGTCGAGATGACCGCTGGAGGTCCCAGCTGGGGTCCAAGAGGATACGGAAGGAATCACGCAGGAATGCTTTCACGAGATTTCGCTCCGATTCTTCTTGGGCCCCGCCAGGTCCCCCGGAGGCTTCCCGCAGCCTTCAGCGCCGCGTCAGAAGGCCCCGAGAGGTTCCCGGGGCCTAACGGGAGGGCGTG